AGAAGCCTTCTCCACGCCGGGGTGGAAACTACAGTCAACGAGTGCAGACAACACTATTGGATTTTACGCATTCGACCCGTCACGAAACGAATAATAAGCAGTTGCATAAACTGCCGCATAAGGAGGGCGGCGCCACCGTCGCCACCTACCGGAGATTTGCCGCCGACGCGCCTCGCTCATCACCGACGGCCATTCACGTACACCGGATTGGATTATTTCGGGCCGTTGACAGTCACCGTGGGCAGGCGTCAAGAAAAACGCTACGTCGCGCTCTTCACATGTCTTACTACGAGAGCCGTGCACCTCGAGTTGGCCGCCTCTCTATCGACGGACTCCGCCATACACGCACTACGGCGCATGATAGCGCGCCGCGGGTGCCCTACCGAAATTTGGTCGGACAACGGGACCAACTTCCACGGCGCAGAAAACGAAATGAAGAAGGCAGTGCAGCAGGCGACGAGCGAAGAAGCAAGCATCCGCAGTATCCGGTGGAGGTACATACCGCCGGGAGCACCATTCATGGGCGGGGCGTGGGAACGCCTCGTGAAGTCCGTCAAAATCGCGCTAAGTGCGGTTTTGCAAGAAAGAAGTCCGCCCGAAGAGGTACTTACGACGCTACTCGCCGAGGCCGAATACACCGTGAACAGCCGGCCTCTCACCCACGTGTCCGTGCACCATGAAGACGACGAAGCCATCACTCCCAACCACTTTCTGCTGGGAGGTTCAGCGCGCGTCCCACTGCCGGGCGAGTTCGACGAGAGCGACCTGATAGGCCGCCCGCACTGGAGAGCAGCACAGCGCCTCGCCGACCACTTCTGGGCGCGCTGGGTACGAGAGTACCTACCCGAGCTGCAACACCGGCGGGAGCCCCACGGGACCGGGAAGACCATCGCCATCGGGGACATCGTGCTCATCGCCGACAGCAACCTGCCACGCAACACGTGGCCCAAGGGAGTCGTCATCGCCACTTTTCCCGGGCGAGACGGCACAGTACGAGTCGTCGATCTGAAGACAGCCGGAGGAGTGCTACGCAGACCGACCAAGCGACTGGTGATATTCGCATCGGCCGCCACTCCCACGGAAGATGGATGCAGCGACGAGTCAACCGACGCTGCACGGCGGGAGTATGTACGCGACGACCGAAGCGAGAGAAAATGAACTTACAACGATACGAGAGCAATGTATAAAAATGTATCTATAATTTCACATGAATTAGTTGTATACGCATTAAAAATATCATTCCCTTGTTGTCTTATTAGAATGAGTCGGATATCGCAACAATAGATAGCTCTGCCCATAGTAAACCATTGTAAAATTGATAGTTCAGAGCGATATTCCGCCCCGTTCTCTCCAATAATCTTATAAGACTTTATCTAAACGATCGCCACGACGCCAAGCGGTGGCGCGGGGAAACTAGTCAGAATACTGATAGTTCCGACCTATAGGAGGGACGGAGACAATAGGTTGTCCTTGTCACACGTCTTATAGGATTTTGCCTGAGTTGACAATTTTCGATAATAGTATGTTTTATGTTTTGATTGATTTATTTTATGTCTTATTAGATAGTAGGTAGTTATAGGAATAATATATCGAAGTTTTATATGAATCGTGTTAGTAGTTTAAGCGTAATTAAGGAAAATATCGGGAATAGTTTTTTATGAATAGTCAATAGGATATAGGTATAATTGCTATAATAATGATGTCATTTTATGTGTTTTTACTTCTTCTTTAAAATGGTGTATGATAGTTAAACATTAAGCGAGTATAAGTAGGTTTTTTAAGACTTTTTAATTTGCAAACTTTATAGGGCCGTACAGCTGTTGTTTATTAATATTCTTGTAAGAAACTTGTTGTATTAAATAGGTAACACGTAGGGCTACGTAAATAAATAGGTATCGCATCAATAAGTGTAAAAATGTACTGTGTAGGAGAAAAAACATGTTTGTATAGAACCGTTTTCTGAGACATGTCGCGCTCCCCACCCGGCGCGCCCGGAGCGCGCGGGTGGGGCAGCGAAGCCCCGTGGCAGGGCGAAGCCCTATGGAGGGGGAAAGTATAAATATTGCGGAGACCTATTTTTTGCGCGCCACACCTAAAATATCGTGTTTACGGACACATAACTATGTTAAAAATATGCCCAAATGTATGCCCGATGTATGTACAATTAGTTTTAAGCTCGCACTATTGTAAATCTTGAGAAAATGAAAAATAAAGTATAGCGTGGGTGAGGTAATGGATCGCTGGCCAGCTCAGTCCTAGCATATAAAATTCGAGTCGGAACATGCCCCGACATGCATTCAGCGACAGGCGCTCCTACCCTAAGGAACAGGAAGAAACAACCAAGCGGTTCACTCTGGACCTGAAGCCTCCTCTCACCGGCCATCCATTATCAGCGCCCACCGATTTCTTCAATACCGAACACCAGGGGTTTTATTCGCCGAAACTACAGTCCACTACAGTCAAGACTCCTGCGTGTAACTTCCTCCACCCCCTCAGTACGAGTCGGTAACTGTCCGCTACTGCGACAGCCCGGCGTCCCGTACAGAACCTTTAAATTTTCTTTACATAAATTAATTAGGTGCAAGGTAAATTAATTTTTAGTGTCTTATATTGGTTATTATTATAATGACAAAATTATAAGCACGTTAGCTCTAGGACTACCAGACATAGAATCTGAAACAATTACGCAATGATGTATTACAATGCGGGTGTCGTGCGTACGGTTTAATCAAAAGCACTGTTCATACGGCATTCGGTTGGAATAACACAGCTTACATTATTATATTTAGTTAACAATAATTTTAAAGTAGATACTCAATTCTAATATCCATCCATGCATTATCATGTGGATCTTTCTCAATAATTTTATGTTTGTAATCTGCACGCAAATGACAGGAAAACAGTACCTTTAGCACGAACCATTATCAAATTCGAATAATTTGCAAGTGCAAAATGTCAATGTCAAATTTTGTATGGAAATTTAAACAGCAGCGCCACAAAGTACGTAACGAGAACTAAAAATCAGCACACATTGGACAATGACTTTTCGCACTCGCTAACTATTCGAATTTGATATTGGTTCGTGCTAAGGCTACTGTTTATTGTTTTAAGCTTTCATGGCCATTAACATTATAGTAATTTGTGTTATTTACGGGATTTCTACCACGTGCCTTGTTTTTAGCGAGTCCCCGATATTTCGGCATTATTGCAAGCGCCATGACCGAGCTCATAGTTACTCCGTGATCATGGCGTTTACAACAGCGCCGAAATATCGGGGGCCAATTCAAAACAAGGTACACGGTCTGCATCGTCAGATACGCCTCTCTGAGTTTGTTTCGCCGGTTCTTCTCAGAAAGGTCTCCCAATTTTGGAACCGGTAGTAGTTTACGGTAGTTAGGGTTAAATAAACAAACTCAAAATCACAAAAACGAATTTTAAATAAAGTACTTGATTAACTAAACTAACTGACAAATTCATACATAGACAATAAAGTTTTAATAATCTTCCAATGAAATATCCGAACGCTCAATAAAAGTCTTTCGAAGGTAGCTCGACAAAGTAAATAAAAAAATCATTATTCTGACGATGCAAACCTGAAAAGGCTGCGAAACGTCAATAAATAAATAAAGTTCGTGCATTCACCCGTTAAAACTAGTTTTATTTAATGAGTGATGTGCGTGAAAATCTAAGAAACAAATAGACTTCAAATAATTTCATGAAACAATTAGACGAAGGCAAAGAGACACTCTTTGTCTTTCTCATGTGTTTGTGTAAATCTGTTTATTGATTCCAAGTATTCGTGCTTCTTTAAAGTTATTTTTGGTGTCAAAGTGTGATACTTATCTAAGAATACTGGACTTCCAGTGGATAGCATATCCTAGTAATATTATAAATGTGAAAGTTTGTATATTTGTGACTAAAACGGTTGATCGGATTGAATGAAATTAGTGACACGTACAGTTTATTACCTAGATTGAGACAAAGAATACTTAGTTATATGTTATTTTTAAGCATTTAACTAATAGATATTTAAATCTGAAGAAGATTTTACTAGAGATAATCCAAGTGGACCAGGCAGCAAGTTTCTTTTCTAGTAAAAAAAAACTTAAGATTTTAATATTTAGCAGTTAAATGCTTAAAAATATAACTACAATTGTTATTTCCTCTTTCAAATGTTTAATACTTGTAAAGGTATTCGTTTGAGAATGTGGGTTACCTGCCATGCGAAGAGATGGCACTGCCTAAGAAATACTAGAAAGAATTCGACACGGCCATTAGGGTCGCGGTAGCATAATGGTCAGTACATCCACCCGGATAGCGGAGGGTACGGGATCGAGTCCCGTCTGCTGACTGGCTCACGTGGATTTTTTCTAGTAAAAAAATTCTTTAGATTCAAAAAAAGACTTTATCCAGGAAAACTTTTTATTCCTGAGGGCTTCAAAAAAACTCAAGTTTTGCGGACGAAATTCCGGGCGGTTACTGATGTGTATATAAAGTAACATAGAAATTTAGCCCTCGAACTATCCTCAACATGCCGATTTAATTCGAATCCCCTACCCCGTGGAGCTTTGGAATCTTTTTACCAATAGAAACACAACAACACCATAAGTTGATGTTATATTATTTATTATACTGTTGTCTTGAGTTCGCTGGAAGTCACTTCCCCAAACGGGTGTACAGATTTCGTATCATTTTTTTAAACTGTAGGAAGCATTCTTAATTTATAAGGCTTAACGCAAAAGGATATTTCAAATAATTAATCCAAAAGATAGTGGAAAAGTATGTTTATATAAAACAAACCTATAAATATTGTTTATATAAAACAAACCTATAATCAAACGAGACACTAATATAACAATAACCAATCTCAAATATGTCAATTAATGTTTAAGTTTCATTTAAGTACATGCCATCACTTTTAAATAAATAACTTTTATGTCTAGATTGGAGTCAGCTGTCAGAATGTAAATAATAAAAATGATAGGCAAAAAAAAACTCACCTTGTAAAATTATCACCACAACAAAACAAATGAGAAACGTGTACGGAGGCATGATTAACATTTGCCGATTCCAGCCGAAATAAATATTCAACTCGAAAACGGAACACAGTAAAGAGAAAAAAAAAACAATTTTTTTTCTTTTTTATTCTACTCCGCGCGCCGGGAATTTCAACGATGACACATCCTACTTTCGCGCTTTTTTCATTTAAATGTGGAATTCAAAAAGAGCGAGCGCGTTCCGAAACGCGTAGTAATTGATTTGAGCCGTGTTTGTTTTTTTTTGTTTGTAAAGCGTAGTAAATACGCGCGCGGGCGACGAGACGAGTTGCTGTCACCAGTCGTCCAGAAACTATGTGCTCGTAAACGGTTCGTACTTGTAAACATCACGCTTATTTTTAGAGGCCCTATTAATAACGGTATGGCATTTAATTCTTTACCACACACAGGAAATGCACGAGTCCGATTTTAGCTTACAGCTAAAGCTAACTTAACATTAAGTTTGGAATATTTCGGAACAAATTATACTGGCAACTAATGCTATTGATATAATCATAAAAGCCAAGGGCAAACCGCCATGACGTGAATTTAAATTATACGTAATCTTTTATCTCGATCGCTCCCTACTTATTTCAGTTCTAAGAAGATGGATGACATAACCGAAATATTTGACACAAATGGTTTTCAAACATTTCTACACACATAGACTTAAGTACATTTTTAAGGTTGAGGTGAATGTTGTCACTTTTTTATGCGCTCTCTACTCTACTCGGATAAAAAAAATCATTCAGTCGAAATTGAATTTTACATATCCTGAATAGATCGCTTTTTAGCCCACTGCCATTTGTTTCTTATATTTTATTGTCATAAATCAAAGAATTTTCAGCTGTGCCCGCTCGGTGTGAAACTTTTAAAACCTACTTATTTAAACAGTTATTTTCGCAATTGAACTTAACTCATTGTTAACATTCTAGTTTGAGCAAAAAATCACGTTTCATGTAAACTGGAAGCCTACCTTTTATTTCTATAATTGTATTTTTTTATAGCGTTTAGCATTAGCATTATAACAGAAATTGAAAGTCATACATTATTTATTATTTAACCTTGACGATCGAAACAAAGCTTAAATTCGATAAAAATATTGTACAACTTCCTACGGTAGATAACCAAATCAAATATAGGTACAACCCTTTACGACCAAATTTAAAATAAACGCACGAATATTTCTCTAAAGAAATTCTAAAGGTACAAACTTACACAAAGAAATGCATTTACAAAGTAAAAGAACCATCTTGTTTTTAAGTGGTCGTTAAATCAATTTATTATACTAATACACAAAATGGTGGCGCATTGTTCTTTATCTCATCTACTTAATTTTCGTTCTACTCTTAATGTGATGATTTTTTATATTTTTCCTTTCTACGCAACCCTTTTGATAATTTTTAGGGTAGCATGGTAAGGTATAAGGTCCACCAACTACGTTACTAGGCTTCATCATTCCAAATAACTGAGTTTGTATTATAATCTCCACCTTACTCGGACCCAAAAAAACAACAGTGAAATAATAAGCTAAAGCTTTTTGTGGTGGTGGGCTTTTCGCACATGAATTAGGTTTCCAGGAATAGGGCCGATCATGCCCGCAAGGCAAGAATAGCTAAATGGCTCATATTGAAAAGTAAAAAAGAAAAAAAGAGTTAAATTTTACTGCCTAGTTCCAGTTTCCTGATACGATGATCTCGTATACTTACGATCAATAATCGCTACCTAAGTGCATCTGGGAAGCAGGAGCAAAATGGATTTATGCATTAAATCGGTGGCCTAAACGTAGCTTTTTATAGCATCGCTCTCCAAATGAGTACTAAGTGTACAGCTGCCTTTAAGGGGAGTGAAAATGCAACATGTTTTGTCCCCCTTCAGATAAATCGCGTCTTGTTACTGTAAAGAAGAGCATTAAAAAGGGCATTATGAGAAGGGTTGGGAAAGCAACGCTGTCTAATCGTCTGTTCGAAATACGCGTAATGGATTAATCGCGATAAAATTCTATGCTATAAGTAGATAGGTACCACATTTCGTACGGGCACGGGTAGATATAGCTAACAAAATTTGACTCTATTTCCACCGCAATAAGAGTCATCATAAGAAGCGGTGTGATTTCACTGTTTCTTGCATAGTTAAATGACGTTTTCAACCGACTGAAAAAATTAGAAGGTTCTCAATTCGTCAGTATATTTTTTTTAAACTGTTTTTGTTCACGCATATCTCTGAAATTTGTAGACCGATTTTGATAATTCTTTTTTTGTTTGAATCAGTTTTTTGGTGAGATGACATTTTATTTAGTTGAAAATCTGATGAGTACTTTTGGAGATAAACTCCTCAATCACAAACAGTACTCAATTCGTGTGAACTTAGAATAAAAAAAAACCCTTTGAAAATAGTACCTTCAATGGAACAAAATATACAGGAAATTACCCGTGGACCAGTTTGACCTTATTTTATGGGTGGTACATTTTTATTTGTTTTGCTGAAAACATTGTTTGTAGAGTAGGGTGGAACGCTTAATGATATGCTCCCATGCAAATATACGATCAATTGATTGATTGAAATACTGAGTAAAATGATGAATGTGAAAACCCGAAATGTTGCTTTCATGTAGTTGATTTAAGAAATGATATGAAAAGTCATTTAAACAGTCTAGGCTGTTACAAGCACTTGTGAAGGTCAAAAATCTACGCCATCAGTTCGCAAAACTACGACGGGAGACCTTGTACTGAGAAGAACCGGCAAGAAACTCAGCAAGGGCTGTTTTCTTTCTCATTGTATTGTTATATACAGAGTCGTCAAGTTGAAAAATGACTTCAAAGATACGTCTGAAGTCACCTTCCATTACATGATCTATACTTATAATAAATCTGTAGAGATGTCAATTCTGTACATGAAATATATTTTTAAAATAACTATCAGGGGGTAATTAGTGATCGATACTGATGCCAAAAATGCAATCAGTAAATTTTTTGTCTGTCTGTCTGTCTGTCTGTGTGTTTGTTCCTTATAGAAACAAAAACTACTGGACGGATTTTAACAAAACTTGGTACAATTATTCTTCATACTCCTGGGCAGGTTATAGTATACTTTTCATCACGCTACAATCAGTAGGAGCAGAGTAGTGAAGGGAAATGTTGGGAAAACGGGAGAAGTTACTCCATTTTTTAAGCTTCCGTCGCGTGTGCAGCCTTAATGATTAAAGTTACATAGAAATCATGTATGACGGAAATATTCTACATAAAATTGTCTAAAAAATATCCCGCAACAGCATATGTCTATCTTTTATGGTTGACTCACAATAACACGTGTAACTCCCGATAGCTTAGCAGTTCGGAGCATTCTGATCATATTTGTTTACTCTTACGTTTATAATACTCGGTATAGAAACACCAAACTTATACATGAAATAAGCCATCGCGCCGTCGCACGTGAATACTGAATCATGCTATAAGGATTATTTTTGTGTAACGGTTGCCGCGCTCGACACGGGTTGCGGCAGCGGTAGGGTATCAAAGGTCCGAGAGCGAGCTGTCTAAATCTGTTTTCTGCGTCGCTCCCCCCCTGGGGGACGATCGCTTCCGATGAAGCCTTAGAGGCCTTCCCGGCCAGAGGCAGCCCCTACGGGTGTTTTTTAGTCAGTACGAGTCTGACATAACCTTGCAGCCGGCTGTAGGGTATCCATGAGGATTTCTCATCTGCTCCCCCGCCTGGGAGACCGAAACCGTGCTTATCAGCGCGACTTTTAGTCTTTAAATAGTTTATTTGAATTTCTTTTGTTGTTATTTTGTAAAACAGGTATTAGTTGTTTTGGTAGTGTTTAAATATTCGTTCAAATTAAAAATTATTAAGCGTAGGTACTTTTATTAATTAAAGTAGTTGTAAGTATTTATTTTTAAGTGAAGGAGGTATAGGTAGATAGTATTGCACAGGCGTTTCAGATTTATTTTCATTTCTTTTTTGTTGTGAGTTGTATATGTTTCTGGTTATAATTCTATAAGAATATTTTAGTTCAAATAGTCACTTAGATTTTATGTGTAAGGTAGCTAAAGTTAGGACCACGTATTAGTTGTTTTGGTAGTGTTTAAATATTCGTTCAAAGTGTAATTTAATCATATAGGATGAATGTACGATGGCCCATCGAAAAGGAGTAGAAGCGGTAGACAGAACTTTAAGAGATATAAGACAAAATGATCGACCCATGGGCGGTATCACAGTTTTATTTTGTGGTGATTTCCGACAAACCTTAACGGTAATACCACGAGGAACCCGAGCTGCTGAGGTTAGGGCTTGCCTGAAAAGCTCTTATTTGTGGCGTGATATACAATCGGTGCATTTGACTATAAATATGCGAGTGAGAACTGTAGATAACCCGGATGATCGTGAATTTTCTGATATATTATTAAAGAAAATACCTTCACCAAAGATACCTATCCACTGCTACACCAAGGAAAACTTATTCTGACGCCTGAGTTATGTTGTATAGTGCAATCCCAACAACATCTTACATCGTCAGTTTACGGTGACGTAAAAAATTAAATAAGAACAATTCTTGGCTATGCGAAAGGTCCATTTTAACTCCTCGCAATGACCAGGCATCTGAGATTAATAATAAAATACTGTCGAATATCCAGGGGGAAAGCAAAGTTTATAGTTCAATAAATAGAATGGCCGATGAACAAGAAGCCACTAATTACCCGATAGAATTTTTAAATTCTTTAAATATGCCCGTACTTCCTTCTCATGAAATTTGTTTAAAAATTGGCATTCCGATTATTCTGCTCCGAAATTTAAGACCTCCACAAATTTGCAATGGAACTCGGCTTAAAGTAACCCAGTTGCAACAAAATGTAATCGAGGCTCAAATTTTAATAGGTTGCGGTGCAGGAGAAACCATCTTTATTCCCAGTATTCCCATAATACCAAATAATTTTCCGTTCCAATTTAAAAGAACGCAATTCCCAGTATCGGTGTGTTATGCAATGACAATAAATAAGGCTCAAGGGCAGACCTTTCGTGTTGTTGGAGTAGATCTCGTTGTCAGTTGTTTTTCACATGGTCAGTTATGTCGGTCTTTCCCGGGTTAGCAGTCCTAGAATTTTT